GGCATTTTTCAGTACATCTGTATGCTCAGGCATAACTCCCAGTTTATAGGGTTTACTCGGTTAACCATTCCAATTGGGCATACTCGAGATGTGACTTTCTTCGGGGCCCATACTGCGCAACCACCTTCCTCCAGTCCCTCTCACACTCTTGGCTGCGATTCCTTTATTCTGCAATCCTCTTCAGACTACATTTGAGAGCCCGGCATTTCATCGCCTTGGCAACCCATGCCCTGTTTAACGGCTTAAGTGCATTCACACACTCTTAGCCGCAGAGGCCATAGTATTCGAAATATTATTTACATGACAAGCCCTGAATGAATGACTCTGTCTGAGTTAGAGTGAAAAACAGAGGCCTTCAAAGTTTCCTTGCTCTTCCGGACTTCGGCTATTATTCTCACCCCCTTTGGAACCGCTTTGCCTATAAGTCCTTTCGTCTTATCTCGCCCCAGCAATGCCTCCAACATTTTAGCTCAACTCGACCATTTACACGCTTCGTCATGTGGCATTGGCTCCGTCAGGCCTTGATCCCATGGGCCACTTTCAGATCAGTGTTTCAACTCCATTGGCCGTTAACCTCTTAACATTTCTACTTCTCCTCCAAACCTGCCTTCATTATCGTGCCTATTCCTCGTTCTCATGCATCCTCGTTGATCCAGGCCGATGTTACTTATTCTCTTGTTTTGAAGCTCCTTAAGATTACATGATCACATGATCACATGCCGGAAAAAAGAATGTAATGAGGAAGATGTATGCTCGGCGTGTAAACAGGCTTAGGTAGTTGTGCTAAGGACAGCATTCCTGAGCGTATTGGTGTGGAAAAGAAGGATTGAAAAGAAGAAGAACATAGGCTTTATACTGAATAGTGCCGACACGAGGAAAAGGAGCAGCGAGGAGACGAGTTGAGGATTAAATGCGGGTCTGAGGAAAGTTCTTTCTGCTGTTGCACAGCAAAGCGACTCCTGTAGAAGTGGATTCGTTGCTACGGCCTCTGTTTGGGTTTCGAAGCTGCGTGGGGGTTCAAGTGAATTTGCCACGATTCAGAACCAAAGCGCATACGCGGGACTATGGCGATTTGCCAGTCGGAGAAACGGCTCACGATGGCCGTCTCGAGGAGGATTCGTCGAGTTAAGATTCTGTTGCTACGACGAAGTGATGTGTCATCAGGCATCCTTGACTCGAGGATGTTGATGCTGCTTAACATTCGCTAAATGACGTCAGCAGGTTGACAATTTGGCTTTGTGTAAGAAGAGAAGTCTAGTGAGACTATAGTTGGTCGACATTTGGAGTGAATAAGTTGGGCTTGTAGATGAAATTTGAGGATGTGTTGAGCCTGAGTCTGCCAATTAGTGGACACATCAATTCGGTAGGTGAGGAATTAGTTGAAATAACCAAATAAATGTGCATAATTGGTACAGATTTGGTGTCATATTGCAGGTGTAGTGAGGAGGAGTATAGCAGGGTCATTTTACTATGTCCTTGCTCATCATTCCGTAGATTTGATAGTATTATTTAATGCGCATGCTGATTCCGTTAGCACCAGAGCTACCATCTTTGTTACCTTTCTCATATGACATTGAGAGGATTGTAAATAATTTAAGTTGTTTAACCTTGTTTTCGCAACTTGGTCATATTGGCAGGAAGAGTCGACGCTGGCAAGTATCATGCATTCTCTGGACTCCGGACAAGGTGCCTTCCTCAAAGTCTTCCTGTCAATTTGACCAAGTTGTGAAAACACGGTTAAACAACTTCTCTACAACGAAAGGAGACTGCGACCATACAAAAGGCTCCGCCATCTTAGGCTTCGATTCTAAATAATGTTTATTTTAGTTCTGGATCTCAGGATTACTGCATTTAAGTAGCACTGGCCAGAGCATCTGTGTTGTTTAGCTTTCTTTCACAATCACTGTCTACTAGTAACGCATATCGCTTAACCATCACACTGTATAATTTTTGCACAAATTTAGATAGTCATCTATTCATTCGTTTCATTCTTATTCCAAGAGTTCCGCATATGTTAGTCTTGAGCTTCAGTTGATTCTATTATTCTCTGTACTATCATTCAGTCTTTAAGTTTAACGAAGCTTATTCCTCAGTAAACCGTCTTATTGACAAGGCCTTTCGTGAAATGTCAACCAACCCTTCTGCATCACCGTATGCGCATTCAGCTTAGGGTGAATATGGCGCTTTTAGTAAAGGTCTCATTGAAGCAGATTAACTTGACTTCTAGAACTGGTAATCGCTATTCATCTTCTTCATTATAGATCTGGAGTTGTCAGCATTATAGTTGAGCGAGATCTATGACGCTCCCAATTATTTTATCAAATATGATCAAAGTGAAAAATGAGTCATTCAATTATCACATGATCATTGTCCTGTTTAGGGGGTGGTTTTATGAAGTATCACCAAACTCGTCCATGTTATCAAAAATATATGAAAGTGCCTATTCTATGGCAAGAATAAATATCTAACCCTGTTTTCGACTCCTTCCTGATCCTTTTTGCTCTCTGCTTAAGATCTCCTACAATGCTGCCAGCACGGTCTATCCATGCATGCTTACAATTCTAGCTCAATTTTCGAATCCTCAAACCATATATCTTTGGTCCTAAGAGAAAAAGCAGGAATTCAGTACGGGATATGACCACTTATCACACATTCTTTGGTTTGAAGTAGACTATGAAGAGAAACTGGATTTCGATGATTTTCTTGAGATAACATTGTTAGGGGGCTTTCATTTCGTATGAGAGTGGATGAAGAAGAGATTCTTTGCTCGATCTCACCAGATGAGGACGGATGAATCTTATTGTACTGGAGCCGTTTGGCTTTTATACGACATTCATGTTGACGCAGTTCACAAGACTTACTCAATAACAATGAAGTAGACTAATTTAGCCATTCTATGTGCTGCTCCTTACTCTCTGCTGACTCTTGTTTTGAGGGGTTCTGATTCTTGGTGTTTCATTGATAATCTTTACACCGTCGATGGTTTTGCATCACTTCATAATAATGAAGTGATTATTACCTTTGTATTTTATTTTTTCATATTCATTTCTTTGAGCATACACATAGTCAATCTTTTGAGCATTAATGAGTTGCTCCGCTTCGGAGAATAACCTTCACTTTTATCAAAAAGTGCTTTCTTTCCATTATCGGTGTGACAATCTTCTTTTCATTTCCATAACTATTTTGCTTTCACATATTTATATAATTCTTTTTTGCTTTATTCCTTCTGTGCCAAATCACTTGATGTTACCACATATTTAAGATTATTGAAATTTTACTTCCATTTGTTTCCTTAAGATTTACCATATTTCCCCATGTATAAGCCACCCTTTTTTTCCAAAATTTCCAAGCCCAAAAAGTAGGGGGTGGCATATATAAAGCAGGTACACGTTTTATGCGTGAAAAATGCATTGTACATAGTAATCGGTTACTGTGTTATTTTGAAACTGCAAAATGGCTGAACAAATGAAGAGACACGCCTGAAC